TTACTGTTTTTTTGTTGTGTTTTCTTGCTGTAGTTTCTCCCCATGATTACTGTTTTGTGTTTTATTTGTTTAATTATCGTTATATTTAGCAATTGTACTTTGACAATGTCCAATGACTTATGTAAATTTATTTTATTTTGCTTTAGATACTGAAGATGGAATCTGATTGAATTCCGAAACGTTTATCTATATCCCCTTTTTGTCAATAAACAATGTTGTATATCATAAGTGTAAATATCAAACTTCGTTTTCCTTCGAACATATCGATTAGTTTTAAACTTCTGCTTGAATTGGTACTTATAAGATAAAACGAATATATTATAATAGACAGACTAACTTTGTTTCAAGAACTTTCTCTAAAATTCTCTATACTTTATCCTGAGCGAGTCAACCAATACATTTCACAAATACTGTATTATTTATATTTCTAACAATACATTTTCAAGCTTGTAATAATAACCCTTTAACAAAAAATAATGGCATGTTATATCACACAACAAGGTGATTTTTTGTGTTTGTGCCTTTTAAAAAACAACGGCATCCCTCGTCCATTGTTGACGTGCTTTGGCCTTTCTATTCTTCATGTTTTTTATATGTATTCCAAAAATTATATCTTAGTTCCGGAGTTAAACACCGGAATCATTACACCTGTAACTTACAAGTCAATATCTCTCTTAGGGCTGTATTGTATGTGTATGTAGAGTGTCACTTCAATGTCTTTACTGTGGTTGGTGTAGGTAGCACTAACCTTTCGGTGTCTGGATGCATCTCTTATCACCATATTAATTTAACTATGGAAAAGAGGCACACTGGAGTTCCACCCTGTTCTCAATGCCCAGTAAACGAGTTATAGTACGTGAATAGTAATATATCTTCCCCGTCTATGTGCATGTGATCATATGTGTTATTCTTTGAGTATTTTTCTAACTTCTAAATCTAAAGTATAAAATCTTGCCGTGAGCAGTCAAGTATTACACGACCTTTTAGGACATAAAATTTTTTGTTCCTTATGGCATGACTTGTGTAGTTTTGTGTAGACTTGTAGAACCACAAAAATATTTTTCACTGGATTTTGAGAGTTTTCAGTCAAGATTAAAACAGTATTAAGCATTATATGTGATATTTTTTAAAGGTAATGTACATATGCTATTAACTTTTACTTTGAATGTTATAAAAGATTCAAATAACCTAACTTTTTTTGCTTTAATGAATACTTTTCTTGCAACCCTTACATTTTAAAATTCAAACTTTCATTGAAACAATTTATTTTCTTATTTATTACAGAATTTAATCAAACAACTTCGCCTTCTGAACTTCCTATATTGGGTGATATCAGTCAGATCGATTTATCAATTCATTCAGCAACGCACGATTACTTTACTCTTTCTGGCAAGAAACTTTTGTTACACAAACCTTTGGACCGTGATGTGAGTAATCAACATTTTCAGAAGCGTTCATTATACGTCTTACCTGTAGTAAAAACCATTTGAATGGCACTCAATAAGTGATTCTAATATGTTTACATTTTTATTTTATAAATATTATAAGAATTCAAAGAGAGGTGATTAAATTCATCGTACAGAGATAAATATAACGAAATATTGTGAAATTACGTTTCAAGGCCATGTTGAAATCTGAGTGTCTGAGAAAGAAATTTTTGATGCTTTTTAAAGTATTATAATTACAATAAACAATTTTTGAAATGTATTACAAAGTCTTATGAATGAACTGTATTACATTTAGAGCCAAAAGAACGCAAATAGGTTACAGAGTAAAATAAGCAATACATTAATATTTTAATTGGGTTTTGATATTTCAATAAAGACGAACATGTAAAGACTTCTTTCAAATATTTTAATGCATTGAAACATTTATATTACCATCTGATACAGAAATATGGAATAAAGAAATCTAGTGAAAAGTAAAAAGCAATTATACACTTATTCGCATAATTAATACAGTGTTAAGCATTATATGCGATATTTGTGAAAGGCAATCTATATATAATATACATATTATTGTTGTTTTTCTTTTAAAGTTGTATAAAATTCAGATAACATAATTCTTTATTTTATTGAATACATTTATTTCAACACTTATTTGTATACTTAAATATAATAAATTAGATTAAACTTATCGGTTATTTATGTCTCTTAAATGTCAGATTCTGCTGATAAATTTTATTACATTTTGTATCGAAAATTTTTAGTATATTCCAAACTAAAGATATATAAAAATATAATTTTCGCGCTATGTTTTATCTACTACAATTCACTCCCCGAAAGGCTTTTCGTTTAATACTGGTTTGTTCGTTTGTTTTGAATTTCGAGCAAAGCTACACGAGAGCTACCTGCGCTAGCCGTTCCTAATTTAGCAGTGTAACACTAGAGGGAAGGCAGCTAGTCATCACCACCCACCGCCAACTCTTGATCTACTCTTTAACCGACGAATAGTGGGATTGACCGTCACATTATAGCGTCCTCACAGCTGAAAGGGCGAGCATGTTTGGTGGGACAGGGATTCGAATCCGCGACCCTCAGATTGCGAGTCGAGCGCCCTAACCTTTAACGACTGGAACTTAATAGATACAATTGTCCTACCACAACCAAAAATTTTAGATATTTACTTAACACCTACCGCACTGGTCAGCCAGGCATCATGATGTGGATAAAAAAAAAGGATCATTCCGGAAAGGTTTCGGTTGTTTTCATTAGACAAAAAGAAGACGTTTGGCACTATTTTCGAAGTCTAGGTCGCTGGACTAGACCTGTGATTTGACCCGAGGCCATGAGAGCCAACATGGAGAACTTAATTTGTAATTGTAAAGTAAAACGATATAGCAATGAAATATGCTTGAAATGTCCAGATGTGGTTGGGAATGTGATGGTTTAGTGTAGCAATTAAGCTAAACCGTGGGTCCTTGTCGGATGAGAGAAGAACTTATTCGAAGATATCTCAATAGAGTTGACATACGAGCTGAATCAGAGACTCGTCAACTTATTACTGTATTCACAGCGAAACATAAAACAAAGGGCATTAGTATCATTAGCTTCAAAAAGGGAAATTGGAATCTAATATAAGAAATATTTAGTTTCAATATTTTGTGAAACTAACGACACAGTGAAGCCCAAAGATGCAGTTTATAAGCTAAAGCAGATGCACGATGCATTAAAAGATGATGTCCCTAGCGGTTCTCACATTAAAAATGCCATTTCTACAATAAAAAGTAAATATAAGAAGGGCGGTATAATGCCCAGTATGGTACCACTATAGTATATTCCATTAATAGCATATTTCATTAATATTTAGTTGTTTTTGTTTCGTTTTAGAAGTTGTACTGAGCTTCATTCAACGAGATCTATTGAAATAACCCTAAATCACGGAAAACGTAGCTTAATGATAAAAAAAAACACGAATGTAATAACAGGATGCATTTATTAATCGTTTGGAATCGTCATAATTCCGTCATCAATAATCTAGAGGTACAAAACAAGGAATTTAGCTACGTTACAACTGTGAGTGTCTAAGGAAGAAAGTATAGGTCGGAGGGGGGGGGTGTCTGGTTTGTGAATTCTCGGCAGACCATATAATATTCGAGGTTGGGAGCCTGTGGGATATAAATTATTGTAAACACAATCAGAAATAATATTTCTTTTCGTAGGTTTCTAAAAATTATCTGGGTTGTCCCTTCAAATTGTAAAGTATGGATTAGTGGTTCCTTGTTTATAAGTTTGAACTTGTTGCGATCGTTAAGAATGTCTAGCATTTTTTTAACATAGTCAACATTTTTGAGGATAACAACTCCATTTCTTTTATCCGGTCGGGTGATAATGATATTTTTGTTTCGGAAGAGTTATTTGATAGCTGCCAGTTCTTCAGATTTCAGGATATCCTGCGTGTGTTATAGTTATAGAAGGTAGAGAGTGCTAAGTTTTATAACTTAGTAGTAAATAGTTCTCGTTCTTGTTCAGAAGTATTCTTGGAAAAAAATACGCAAAAATTTTATATTCAGGTACAAGGATTCCCAGGGATAGAGGTAATTGGCATAATTGAGTTTTGAGAAGGGTATGTAGAAGTTCAATCCTTTGACAAGTGTAGTTTTTTGATTATCACTTAAAGTGACGTTGTTGTAGTTGAAGATGACTTGGTCAGGGGAGATCTTGCTGTGAGTTATGTTGTTAGAAACTTTCCTTACTTTAACATTCTGTATGTGTTCGTGTCTAGAAATTTTCTTCTCGTTGCTTCTGTTGATAAGATTCAAAAGGTGGTTGAAGTCCAGCCATCATGTGAAGTTGGAAAGTGACGTTAGAGATGAATTCAGCTTAGATGAGAGGTGATACCTGTGCCGGTGTTTCTATCTAAGTTCTTCATCAAGTAAGCGCTTTTGACAATTGCTCTATGCTATTGAGTTTTGAAGGTTTCTGTTAGCGAGTTTGAACTGAAGAAACTTCGGAGTTAATCACCGGGTTTTGCATTATGTTAAAAACTGGATGTCAAGATTTATCTGTTTTTGTTTTGTAGCCAAATTTTTCAATAGTCCTGTAGACTATGAGACAATCATTTCCGTATCGTCGTTGAAGTATACAAGTAATCGACTAATTTTTCGGAACACATAGCTTAAAGATAAAACAAAAAAGGAACGTAACAACAGGAAGCATTTATTAAACATTTCGGAATGGTCATAATTCCATCTTCAGTAATCTAGAGGTACAAAACAAACAAACAATATTTGTAATTACAACAGAAATATAGACATAAGAAATAAAATATTCGAATATACAAATATAACTCGAGAAAATGAGTTAAAATAGGTTTAAATCCAGTGAATATTGTGTGTTATTTAGGGATGGAAGAAGAGTACTCATATATAATGTTTGTTTTATAAGAAGTTCAGTATCATGTTTGGCTGTTTAAAAAATTTTAAAGTTTGAGAGAGAAATCGGATGTCCTGTTTCTGTATTGTGTTTATAGATAGCGGAGTTGGGAGGGTTTGTTACCAGGACAGCCGATTTCTCTCTCAAACTTTAAAATTCTTTCAACAGCCAAACATGATACTGAACTTCTTGTAAAAGAAACATTAGACATAAAAACTACTCTTCCGTCCCTGTTATCAGGTCCACTGGCAACCAAAGTTCCCGACCAAACATCAGCTTTGCTGAAGTGTAGTCAGTGGCTTCATGCTCTGCTGTTCTATAGGTCATCAACAGTGGAGGGAGTAAGACATCCCAGTCATCTTGGTGGCTATTACTAAACTTTGCCAATTCCTGTCCCAGTATCCAATTGTACTTTTCTACCATCTCATCAAACTGTGGGTGAAGTGGCATTGTTCTGGTCTTTCGTATGCCAAACAACTCGCAGCATTCATGGAACACATTTGATTCAAAGTTACGACCTTGATCCAAATGCAGTTCATATGGCATACCAAACCTGAAGAAGAAATCACTAATAGACGAAGCTACAGTTGTAGCTTCCTGATTTGGTATTGTATATGCTTCAGGCCACTTGGTGAAATAATTCATCACCACAGAAATGTACCTGTTTCCAGCACGAGTTTGGGGCAAAGGACCAGCAATGTCAATGGTTACTCTTTCCATTGGTGTGCCAACTTGATATAACTTCATTGTAGCACGTCCCTTATGCTTGGGTCTACTTTTAGCACAACAGGTACTGCAGGTCCTGCACCATTCTTTCACATCTTGCCTCATACCTATCCAGTAAAATCTCTGCCACAGGTAACTCAATGTCTTCTTAACTCCAAGATGTCCTCCTGTTAAACTATCATGGGATTGACGCAGCACAACTTCCCGTAATGTTCTCGGTATAACCGTTTGCTAGGTCGTCACTTTCCCATCTCCAGACAAGGGTACCACCATCAAGCTTTAACTGGTCCCATTGTCCCCAATAGTTCTTTGTCACAGGGCTTAAGCTAGACACCTTCTCCCAAGCAGGGTGCAAAACACTTGCTTGTAGAAAATCAATTATTGGCTTCACATATTGGTCCTTCTCCTGTTTTGCTTTAATATCTACACTCAGTTCCACTTCCCCATCACCAACTCCTTCAGTCACTTTGATAGCACCTGATTAGGTCAACCTCTCTTTTGCAGCAATGTCTGCAGTCATTTTTGCAGTGTCTTCAGCTCAGTCCATCAACATTTCCATGATATTTTCCTTCTCTGTATTCAGTATCATAATTATACTGGTCTAACTTTCCGATCCCATGTGCCAGTTGTCTTTCTGGATTCTTTAATGATCTTAACCAGTGTAATGCAGCATAGTCTGTCCTGATGGTAAACCTAGCTCCATGGAGGTAAGGATGGAAATATGTCGGACTCTTTACTATAGCAAGGAGTTCCCTTCGTGTTACACAGTAGTTCCTCTCTGGGTTACTGAGGACCCTACTGAAGTAGGCCACCACATTTTCGTTTTC